CATCAACAACAACATAATCAGCATCAGCAGCATCATCAGCAACATCATCACAACCATCATCACCATCACCATCACCATCACCATCATCAGCATCAGCATCAGCATCATCATCATCGTCGTCAGCATCGTCATCATCATCATCATCATCAGCAGCAGCATCATAATCATCATCATATTCAGCATCATGATGACTATCAGCATCATAATCATCAACATCATCATCATCGTCATCGTCATCGTCACCGTCATCATCATCATCATCATCATCATCATCATCATCATCATCATACTCATTTCATCCTCATCATAATCATCATAAGTACAATCAGCATCAGCAGCAGCATCAGCATCAACAACATAACCATCATCAGCAGCATCAGCAGCAGCATCATCAAAACCATCAACACCATCACTTTCACCACCACCATCAGCAGCATTATCGTCGTCAGCATCGTCATCATCATCATCGGCGTCGTCATCGTCATCGTCATCATCGGTGTAATTATCATTACAAGTATCAGTATCAGTCTCATTATTGTCGTCGCCATCATCACCAACACCACGACCAAGGTCATCAGCATCGTTGTCATCATCATCATCCTCATCATCACCATCATCGTCGTCATCATCATCATCCCTCATCTCTCACCCCTAGCATATCATTTCCCATCCCTCGTCACGGTCCTCCCGAATCCCTCCTCCATCTCATCATCCTCCTGCTCCTCCATCTCATCATCCTCCGCGTGATCGCCCCTATCTGTCCTCGTCCTTCGCCTCCTCCTCATCATCATTATCATAAGCATCATCAGCATCATCACCATCATCATCAGCATCATCATACTCCTCCCTCTCCTGATCCTCCTCATTTCTCCTCCTCCTCCTCCTCGTCCTACTCCTCATCCTCCCCCTCCTCCTCCACCTCCTCATCATTGGTCATCCTCCTCCCCCCTCACACCCTCCCCCTTTCTGTGCCCTTCTCACATGGTTTCTCACCAGCATAAACCAATATCACCATCCGTCCCATCACCCTCATCAGAATACCTATCATCATCACAACCACTATCCTCATCACCACATCGTCATCATCATCATTCATCCTCCATCATCCCTCCATCTCGTCTCCCTCCACCTCATCATCAATCATCATCCCTCCTCCTGCGCCTCAGTCGCCTTCTTCTTTTCATCCGCTTATCCATCTCTGCTGGGAGGGAATGGGGGGAGAGAGGCACTGGTAGTAGTCACGTATAGCTTGAGCCCATGGAAACAAGACCTTCAAACACCTGCGTTCCGAGATGTCTTACACCTGTGACTTCCATGGGTACTGGGGCTGACTGCTAAAAGGGAGCAACAGGAGGAGGAGGAGGAGGACCAGAGTAAACCAAAGATGCATAAGCGATGCTGCAAGACACCTTCCCGTCCAAAGACCCCGCTTCATACGCCCCCACAAAAACCCCTTATCACTACAATAAGCGTTCGCCCTTGTAATACAGGAACCTTTGGGCCTGCCATTATGGCGAGGATCCCGCTTTGAACAGCGAGCCAAAATAGCGACCAAAATACAGGATCACGCGTAAACACGAGCCAAAATAACGATCATACAGTTCAACGTACTGACCAGCGAGAACCCTTTCGAAGAGGGACCGCGCCCCATCCGTTCAACTGTTGATAAGTCTACACGTGTGGCCAGTAAGATCGGGAAAGATCAAGCGACCGCTTCATTTAAAAAAGAGCCGCCATGGATCCTTGCAGCCCTACGTGCATTGAAGCCCCGGGTTTTAAAACTGATTGGCGTCTCAAGCGATAGTTCCATGTTGAAAAGAAGCAATCCACCATCCTGCTAGACGCTGCATTGGAAAATGCGCGAGGCGCTGAAGCGAGATCGCCATTTTGAAACGGCCAGTGCTCGATACGTAAGACTGTTGCAAGAATTTGAGACGAATGCTTGCAGCACTAATGCGAGAGTCCCCCTTTGAAAGGGAAACGCCCTCCATCCGTGAAGCTAGTGCCAATTATTAAAACGAATGTGCACGGTGCCAAGGCGAGAGCACCATTTTGAAGTCGTCACCCCCTCTATCCCTGCAACCATTGAAAACTTTTGAGGCGAAGGTTCGCGGCGCTAAGGCGAGAGCACACGTTCGAAAACGACTCCCCGTTCATCTCTGAAATGATTGGAAAACGTTTGAAACGACTTTGCGCGGCGCTAGGATGAGAACACAAGTTTGAAAAGAAACCACCCTCTATCCGCAAAGCTGCTGCAACTCATTAAAACAAAATGCACGGCGCTGGGGCGAGAGCCACATTTTGACCCCCTTCTCCTCCATCCCGAAAACTGTTGCAAGCTTTTTGAAACGGATGCGCGAGGTGTCAAAGCGATACCGACGCGCCTGACGGTGCGACAGGGAGGAGCTTTCTGAAGAAAAATGGATGGAGGTGCAGGTGGAGGAGGTGGCGGATATGGCGGAGGAGCAGCAGCAGGAGCAGCAGGAGGGGGAGAAGGAGG